GATCTGAAGAACAAACACACCTTCAGAGGACAGCGGGGGCTTCAGAGGACAGCAGGGGGCTTCAGAGGACAGCAGGGGGCTTCAGAGGACAGCGGGGGGCTTCAGAGGACAGCAGGGGGGCTTCAGAGGACAGCAGGGGGCTTCAGACTGATGAACCATCACCTACATGACACACTCCATGGTGCTGAGCTGAGCCTTCACCTCCTCCAGGCTGCCCACCTCCAGCAGGTTCCAGAGGATCTCAGCTGACAGGAACAGAACCTGCCCGGACGGGTCGGGCTCGTTCATGTGGAGACAGATGGTCCGGGCTCCTCGTGCACGCAGTATCGAAGCACAGTTCCTGTCTGTGGTTGAAGACAGATCAAATACGTCATCATGTTTTTATTAATGAAGCAGGTGCACTTCCTGCTGCTCCTCACCGGAGGAGCTGGACAGGAGCTGGAGCGTCTGCAGCAGCTGCAGCCTGACGGCCGGCTGGTCCTGGACCGCTGCCGTGGACAGGAGCAGCGTCTCCGGGACGTCGCTGAGCTCCAGCTGCTGCAGCCGGAACCCTGGAGAGACGGGCTGGAGTCCTGCAGACAGTTTAACAAATCAGACTTAACGAGTCAGGCTTAACGAGTCAGTCTTAACGAGTCAGACTTAACCAGTCAGGCTTAACAAGTCAGACTTAACGAGTCAGGCTTAACAAGTCAGGCTTAACGAGTCAGACTTAACGAGTCAGACTTAACGAGTCAGACTTAACCAGTCAGGCTTAACGAGTCAGACTTAACCAGTCAGGCTTAACGAGTCAGACTTAACGAGTCAGTCTTAACGAGTCAGACTTAACGAGTCAGACTTAACCAGTCAGGCTTAACGAGTCAGACTTAACCAGTCAGGCTTAACGAGTCAGACTTAACGAGTCAGTCTTAACAAGTCAGTCTTAACAAGTCAGACTTAACGAGTCAGACTTAACGAGTCAGACTTAACAAGTCAGTCTTAACAAGTCAGACTTAACGAGTCAGACTTAACGAGTCAGACTTAACGAGTCAGACTTAACCAGTCAGGCTTAACGAGTCAGACTTAACGAGTCAGACTTAACCAATCAGGCTTAACAAATCAGACTTAACGAGTCAGACTTAACGAGTCAGACTTAACAAGTCAGTCTTAACGAGTCAGACTTAACAAGTCAGTCTTAACGAGTCAGACTTAACGAGTCAGACTTAACGAGTCAGACTTAACAAGTCAGTCTTAACAAGTCAGACTTAACGAGTCAGTCTCAACAAGTCAGACTTAACGAGTCAGAATTAACAAGTCAGACTTAACGAGTCAGACTTAACTAGTCAGGCTTAACCTTTCTGTGACGTGTATGTCCTTCAGATACAGAAAGTCAAAGAAAACAACTTTATATTTAAGAAACTTTGCACAAAACACATGATTTTACTCATTTCATCACGTAAATTGCACATTTTCCTTTGAACTTGGCTCAGATAAAGTGAAACAGGAAGTGACATCAAAGGGGAACTCTTTAAGAAAAACAACTTTGTTTTTTTTATTGAAACATTTTTTAAACTTTAACTGTTCATCTCTCTGATGGTGACTCAAAAAAATCCAAAGAAACATCAGATTCTTGTCTGCAGTCTGTGTTAGTCGTTGTAGCATCGCTCTGTTCACATGCAGACATTCCCCTTTGACATCACTTCCTGTTTCTTCACATGCAAATATCTCAACAGCTGTTCATCTCAGCGGTGTGAAATTAGTTTTGCAATATGTTATCAATGTTATCTTTCCAAAAACTTGTTCATTTTTATTACAAAAACCTGAATTCACAGGCACTTTAAAGTTTGTGAAGCTGCAGATCAGAGGTTCGGTGAGATGACTCGTACCGTCGACTTGTTTCCTGGGAGTGGCAGAGACGAAGCAGGACCTCACAGACTCAATAACACACCGCCTCACTTCAACGTGTGGCACCTTCATCAGACGAGCTGCAAAACTCCTCATCGTCACCCAGCACAACAAAGACAACGATGTGTGTGTGTTATAAAATACCTGTGTGTGACAGGAAGTGTGTGACGTCCTGAGAGAACCTCAGCTCATCAGATGTTCTCTCCTTCAGGAAAGGAAGTCTGAAAACAGAGATGCTGAGACGATCAAACAACAAAAGGTTTAAATGGTTTGTTTTTACCTGCAGATTTGAAGAGCTTCACACAGAACTGATGTAAACTCAGGCTGAGCCGTGGCTTTCTCAGCACACATGTTGAGTATTTTACAGATGTCTGTCAGCTCCCTCAGAAGCTGGAAAAACTGTAGGAAATTTGAACGCTTTGAGAAAGAGTCTGTGTGAGTTCAGCTCCCAGTCCGGTCCAGTTACAGAAACAAAGGATACGAAGCCCGTCTGGTTTCTCTTCAGTAGCTTCTTCAAGACAAAAAGGTTCCTCTCCTTTAGGTTTGTCTTCAACAGAAACAGGATGATGATCAGCAGCAAAACACGTTCAAAACAAGACRATAACAAAACACAAACTGAGCTTACAGTCAAGGGATCCTCGAGCAGACGGATCACTTTACTGAGGTCCAGACTTTTAACACGGACCTGCTGAGAAATCATGTTTTACTGCTCATTTCAAAATAAAATCAGAAATACCTTGTAACATTTTGCATGACGTCATTGACCCGTGACCACTCTGTGTGTTAATAAATAACTATAAAAGAGGAAGCAAATACATCGTTTTATGTTTTATTCCTCTTTATATTTCCTCTTTTAATATTTGTTTTTTGAAAACTTCATTTGCCACGATTTAATYCATAAACGAGAAGGGGGTCTCTGTAGAACATGTTTTCCTGTGGGTGGAGACAGCCCTACACCTGACTGGCCCAGGTAGGGTCGTCTCCGACCCACAAGACAACAGTCCTGCAGAGACCCCTACTTGGC